TCAAGTTGACAACCAAGAATGCCACCACAGAGGTTACAAAGAAGTTTGCATTTTACTTGGAAATGGGTACCAGGAAAGATTATGAAGAGTTTGAAAGATTATGAAGATTATGAAATATTATTAAGAGTTTGAAGCCAGCCTGGTCAACATAGTGAGTTCCAGGACAGCCAGGGTTACATAGAGAGATCCTGTGTCAAAAAATAGAAATACAATATTTTTATTCTTTGAGAATTTCATACATGAATTAAATGTATTTTTAGATCATATTCATCCCCAACTCTTCCACTTAGCTCCTCCCAGATCCACCCCACACCCTCCAACTTCTTGTTCTGTCTTAGTCACTGTCCTATTGCTGTGAAGCGACACCATGACCAAGGAAACTTTTATAAGGAACGCCTTTAGCTGGGGGCTTGCTTACAGTTTCAGGGTTAGTCCATTGTCATCATGGTGGGGAAGCATGGTGGCACACAGGCAGGCATGCTGCTGGGATGGTACCGAGAGCTTTACATCCTGATCCACTGCAGAGAGAGAAGACGCTGGGCCTGGTGTGGGCTTTTGAAACCTCAAAGCCCATTCCCAGGAATGCATCTCCTGCAACAAGGCCACATGTCCTAAATCTTTCCAAATACTCACCAATTGGACACTAAGAATGCAAAAGATGAGCCTATGGGGCCTAGTCTCATCCAAACCATCACACTCTCTATATATCACTTTTTACAAAACAACCCACACATCTTGCCACACAGGTTGTTATTGCGGCTCACAGGGTTCACAGCTAGGTGAGACCATTGGTGACTTTTCTTTCCCAGCAGCCTGCATGTCACCTTCTGGAACTGTGAGAGCTAGCCAGCAGGGAGGAAGCTTCATGATTGGTACATATTTGATTTCTCCATGCCCTGTGACCTGTGTGAGTTTGTTCGTTTGTTTTTTTTTTCCAGAAATAGGATCAGTCTTCCCATCAAGTTCTGGTGGTCATCCAAGGGCAATGACAATAATCTGTTTTGGGTATTTGGGATACCTCTTGTTTATTTTTTCATACAGAGTCTCATGCAGCCCAGACTGTCCTCTGACTCACTGTGTAGCTGAGGTTAGCCTTGAATTCCAGTCTCTCATGCTTTCACCTTCCAAGTAATAGGATTACAGATGTGCACCGCCACTGTGACCCTCTACCTCTGACCTATCTCCCCCAGTCTCCTACTCATCTCTGCTTGGGGCTTCCCAGCAGGTCCACAGGGGCAGGATGCTGCTCAGGCATGTGTTTGCAGAGGACCACTGGAGACCATAGCCCTGTGGAATAGAGAGAGGCCCATCTTGCCTCTTTCAGGCACACTGGCTATAGGCAGTCAGGCTGGCGATGGGGAGTTGGAAGCAACATCATTGACTGGTGTGCTCCCAGCTGGGGCTACAGCAGGGGCCACAGCCTAGCAGCCACCCTCAGCCAGCTGGGCCCCTCACAACTTTTACATTCGGGGGCTAGCTGCCTGTTGGCTCCCGGTTGAAAAGACTTCCTGCCAAGCTTACCCGGCACTGACCTCCCAGCATTCCTCTTCCCTAAAGCCCTTCTGCCAGGCACTCTAATAGAGTGGCTGGAGAGCAGGGCACAGCAGGAGACATTTCTTGTGAGCCCCACACCTCCCTGAAAAATCCCCAGAGCAGCCAGCTCTTGTGGCCTCTCCACACAGGTGACTGGGGCCACGTCCATCCCACAGGACTTTTGAGCCAGTCTTAGTTAGGCCAACTCCAGCCTGGGGGCCCAGAGTGAAAAGGTTCCTTCTAGCTTTCCTCCATTCTGGGCCCTCAGGCCTGTCTGCAGGAACTTTGGCTCTCCTTCTCTCTTACACTCTTTGCCAAGCTCAGGGCTTAATAGAACTGATTCTTTTGGCTTGAGGCTGCCTTTGATGACTGTGTCAAATGAGATGGAATCTGGCCAGGTTGTTATAGGAACTCAGGAGAATCCCTGGGGTAGGAGAAATAATGAGAATTCAGGGCTTTTCACCGCATTTCACCAGAAAGTAGAGCATAGCATTGTCCAGGCCCATAGAGGCCCAGGCAGCAGAAGGAAGCCACTCAGGCTTGGGGACCCTGAGCACCTCTAGGAGGTTTTGGGGTGCTGGGGGCTAGGGGTGCCTGTTAAAGGTTTAATGAAACTTAGTTCAAGTGCTAAATCCTGAAGTTACTCCTTATGCAGCCTTAAGCAAATTAAAATAATGTGATCCCATTTTACTGAGACACAAGGCCAATTGTGGTGCTCACCTACTCTCCTAACTTGGGGAGTTGAGGCAGAAGGGTTGCCCACAAGTTAGAGGCCAGTCTCAGCTACACGGTGAGATCAAGGGTAGCCTGGGCTACAAAGTGAAACCCTGCCCCTAAAACACAAACCAAAACAAAAACAAAGGAAGCAAAGAAAAAAAAAATAAAACCATTCAGAGTCTAGAATAGAAGTTAAGCTTTTGCTGGGGTTTTCCTGGTGTTGTGTACTGTGGTTGGGAATGAGGTTTTCTATGTTTTCCTGCCTCTTCTGATACCTTCATTTTCCTTTTTCTTCTTTTGGCCTCACACTTGAGAGCCTCCTGCCTTAGCCTCTTGAATGCTGGGGTCCCAGGCACATGTCACCATGTTCAGTTTCTTTGTTGCTATTTTTTTAAGAGAGAGAGAGAGAGAGAGAGAGTGTGTGTGTGTGTGTGTGTGTGTGTGTGTGTGTGTGTGTCTGAGAGTTTGTGCATGTGAGTCCAATGCCCATGGAGGCAAAAGAGGTCCTTACATCCTATGAAACTGGGGTTACAGGTTAGCCCTCTCATGTGGGTGCTGGGAATCAAACTTGGGTCCTCTGGAAAAGCTTTACTGGGCATCTGTAGTCCAGTTTATGTATTTATAGTAGTCTTGGCCATGTGTGGGAGCTGTTCTGTAGGTCTTGAACTTGCTGTGTAACCATGGCTGATGTGACCTGATGTTCCTGCCTCCACCTCTACAGTGCTAGTATTACAGACACGCACTACCACCCATCGGCTTACTTGCTTACTTTTTAAATTGCTGTATATTCTCCCTCTCCCCCTTCTCCCTCCCCGCTCCTTCTCTCCCTCCTCCCTCTGTTTGGTTTCTTGTGTAGCCCAGGCTGCCTTCAGACTCACCATGTAACCAAAGCTGGTTTGAACTCCTGCCTGATACTTCCGACTCCACCTCACAAGAGTTAGTGTTAGGTGTATGTCACCCCCTAGAAAGTAAATTATCATTCTGTGCCCCCCAAGAGGTCTGTATAGCCTTCACTGGTCTGGAACTCACTATGTAGACCAGGCTAGCTACAAACTCACAGAGATCTGCCTTTGCCTCCTGAGTGCTGGGATTTAAAAATGTGTGCCACAGTACCTGGCTTGTTTGCCTCCTTTTGAGACGGTCTCATTGTTTAGTGTACACTGACTTGGAACTTAATCTGTAGCCCAAACGGGGTTGGAACTCATGATCCCCTGACTCTGCCTCTAATACTGGTATTGCAGGCAGACACCACCACTCCTGGCAAATTATTGTGTGACTTTTTATTGAGTGTGTTTAGTCCAGTTTGTATATCTACACTTCTGTTAGGGATCTGTAGTCTTGGCCATGTGTGGGGACTGTTCTGAAGGTCTTTATCCGAGGCTGTTGGTGAACAAAAGCTATCTTCTATCACCAGTGTTGCTTTGAAGAGTTAAAAACAAACAAACAAACAAAACCACATGCAATTCAACCCACTTTCCCTCTTTGTGACTGTCAGATATTGTAGCCATAAGTACTTCAATAAGTAATCTGTCAGCATTTTAAAAAAATTTATTCACTTATTTTGTGTGTATGTGTATGTGCTTGCAAGTATGTGTGTAAATGTGCCTCAGTGCATGTGTGGCATTCAGGGGACAGCTGGCTAGAGCTAGTTCTCTCCTTCCATCACTTGGATTCCAGGGACTAAACACAGGTAGTCAGGCTTAGCTATAGCCACTTTTACCCACTGAGCCATTTTGCTAGCCACTGCCAGTATTTTTTTAAATGACAAAAATAAATCGTGGAAGCATAATGTGACTATATCCACCTAATAGACGCTTTCGACGTTATAACTGAAGTTGAGTTCTTTCTGACCCATGTCATACCTTGGTCCTTTTTTTCTCCAACCTAAGTCATTCCTGTTACGGGCTTGGTGGGTCTCCACTCCTTTTTTCTTGTTTTCATATACTCCTAGAAAACCTTTTACCTGCTGCCTCCTCCCCGTGTGTCTGTATCTCTGTGTGTGTTTGGTCCAGCGAATGATGTTATACAGCTTGGCCATTTTGTTCTCACTCAGGAAATTACCCCGATGTGGTCAGGAAATGCTTGCTAGGTTTTGTTTCCTTCCTCAGTGTTGGGGATGGGACTCAGAGCCAAAAGTATATGAAGCAAGTGCTCTAGCCCTGAGCTACACCCTAGCCCTTACTTCACTTCTGGGATGTGTGTGTGTGTGTGTGTGTGTGTGTGTGTGTGTGTGTGTGTGTGTGTGTACATGCACACAGGTGTGCATGGGTGTGGAGGCCAGAGGTCAGCCTCAGGCGCTGTTGGCCTTTTTGTTTTGAGGCAGGGTCTCTCTTGGCCTGGAGCTCACCTAGTAGACCATGCTGTCTAGCCAGCAAGGCCCAGGAATTCCCATTTCAACCCCTCCAGTTCTGTGATTACAAGTATGTGCTATTTCACTTTAGCTTTTAATACCTTTTAGGAATTGAACCCAGGTCCTTGTGTTTTCATATAAGTACTTTACTGACTAACTCATCTCCCTAGTTTTACTTCCGTTTTTTGGGTGGGCTGGGCTGATCTGTTGTATATCACGCCATTACTGTTGGGTCAGGTCCCTGTGGGGGGACATTTAGACCGGACCTTTGCTGCTATTTCACATGTATTCTGAGGGCTATGGTCATGCATGTGAACACTGTCACTCTGGTTGAAGGCAGAACTGTCTGTCAGAAGTATTGGTCTGATGCCACACAGTGTCTCATCTCTTTCCTCTACAGAGACGTCTCAGAGAGGCTGTGCAATTGCTGGAGGACTACAAGCATGGCACCCTACGTCCAGGAGTCACCAACGAGCAGGTACCAACGAGCAGGTGCCTCTGCTGGGGGCAGAGGAGGGATCCAGATTCTGTGGGCAATCGGCCCAAGTTTTTCTTTTTGTTCAGAAACTTTATTTCAAAACTTAATTATGTGCTGGGTGGTGGTGGTGCATACCTTTAATCTCAGCACTTGGGAGGCCAGCCTGGTCTGCAGAGTGAGTTTCAGGACAGTTAGGGCTGTTACACAGAGGAACTTTGTCTCCAAACAAACAAACGAAAGCTTAATTATGTATTTTTCAAAGAAATATTTACACATAGTTAAAAAAGGCCCTTGTGGGGGAAAAAGCACTGTGTTGTCACTCCCCAGTCCTATCCCTGGTCACCGGAAAAAACTTTTAAGGGCGTCTCAGGTGTAAATCTGTGTTTTCAGATGTAAATCTGTGTTTGTCCGTCTGAACTGCCTTTTCTCAGCTCTTTGGCTCTGATGTTGTGTCTGCTGAGGATTCATTTCTCATACCCTCCACTTCTGTTCTGTTAGGACACGTCTCCCCTCCTTGAACATTTAATCGTGGTTATATGATATGTATTTCAGCTGCTCATGTTATCTTAATTGTTAAATAACATTTACTGAACGGTCGAGTCAAGTTGTTTGTATCATGGCTGTTTTTTTCTTCTTTTTCAACTTTATGTTTTATTTGGAGTTAATCATTGCCCATGGTTTCCACTGACAAGCTTTGTTCCACTTCTAGCTCTTTCTGTATCTTCTGCATTCAGCATTTCAGGGCCTCCTTTTAACTGGAAGTTCCTTGTATGGCCATTTCCCTTTCCTTCATCCAGCCAGTCCTAGGTCTTTCTTTTCTTTGTGTATCCTGTAGTTATGGTGAAATATTTTTCGTAGCTCCCTGAAAGGAGTGGATGGGAGGAATGTTTAAATGTTTGGAGGGCTTTTGTTATCATTGTTTTTGAGATAGTGTCTCACTGTGCAGTGTTGGTTGTCTGAAAAGTCACTGTGCAGACAAGGCTGGCCTCACACACACACATGCCACCACTCAGACTGAACTGAAAGTTTGGGTGAGAGAGTCCTAGGTTGACAATGGTTTTTTTTCTTGTTGTTGTTGTTTTCTCATACTTTTGAAGACCATCACTTATTTTATCCTGGCCTACAGTATGGCTTTTGGAAATTCTGTTGCCATTTAATTTCCGATTTTTCTGAAGTTGCTGACTTAGGGTTTCTATTGCTGTGAAGAAACACTATGACCATGACAACTTTTACAAAGAAAAACATTTAATTGGGGCTGGCTTACAGTTCAGAGGTTTAGTCCATTATCATCATGACAGGAAGCATGGCAGCGTGCAGGCAGACATGGTGCTGGAGAAGGAGCTGAGAGTTCTGCATCTGGATCTGAAGGCAGCAGGAAGAGACTGAGACATGCTTCCTCCAACAAGGCCACACCTCCTAATGGTGCTACTGCTTATGAGTCTAAGGAGGCCATTTTTTTTTCACATTACCACAGTTGCCTACTTTCTTTCTCTGGAGTTATTTGTGATCCTTTCATCCCCTCCTCCCACTCAGCCTCCTCTCCCCTTCCTCCTCTTCCCTTTTCCTTTTGAGATAGGATCTCATGTAGCCTAGGATGACTCTCAATCTTCCGGAATAGACAAGGATGACCTTGAACTCTGAGTTCTCTTGACTTCAGATTCTCTCCATTTTAAAAGGGCTTGGACTACAGGCCTTTTTTGAGACAGGCTCTCCCTAGTTAGTTCAACCTCAAACTCATGGCATTCCTTCTGCCTTAGCCTTTTGAATGCTGGGATTACATTTCCCTACTCTGTTTATCCTAAGTCTTTTTTTTTTTTTTTTGGTTTTTCGAGACAGGGTTTCTCTGCATTATTTTGGAGGCTGTCCTGGAACTCGCTTGGTAGACCAGGGTGGCCTCGAACTCACAGAGATCCGCCTGCCTCTGCCTCCCGAGTGCTGGGATTAAAGGCGTGCGCCTATGTCTTTTAAACATCATTATTTTGGATTTTTGGTGACCCCTTTAAATCTGAAAGTTCTTTGCAGTCCTAGCAAGCATGTTTACAATTTTTTCATTGTTGTTTTTGAGACAGGGTCTCACTCTGGAGCTGGCTAACCTTGAACTCAAGTTACTTCTCCTAACTCAGCCTCCCAACTGCTGGGATTAGAGGAGTGAGTCACCATATTCAGCTACTCTGTATTTTTTGATCATTTATTATCATTCTGGAACTCCCAGACTTCAGATATTAGCTGTATTTTGTGTGTCATGTGTCCTCAGTATGTACTTGTCAGCGTGCACATGTGCGTGTGCAGGTGCACATGTGTGCAGTAGTGTGTAGAAGACAGAGGGTGTCTTTCCTCGATCACTCACTATATTTATATTTAATTTTTGAGAAGCTGTGGATCATTGGTTTGGCTATGATGCTTGGCCATTGCTCTGCAAGGATCCACTGATCTCTTCCCCTCACATCACCGGGTTTACAAGTGTACACTGTCACATCAGGCTTTTTCCACAGGTGTTGGGGATTCAATTTCAGGTGTTCACGTTTGCATGGTGGACACTTCACCAAGAGCCATCTCCCAAGTCCCACATGTTGGACATCTTAAACTGCCACTCGGGTTTCCTTCTTCCCTCTCTTCCTACATCCTAGGGACTGAACCAGGGCCTGCTGTGTGCTAGGCCAGTGCTCACCACTGAACTACATCCTCATTCTCAGGTTTCCTCGTCTCTCCTTCCCCTTCCATTCCATCACTACAGGACAGAGAGCAAGGACGAAGCAGGGTGGCAGGACACGGGACACCCCACCCCAGGCAGTGACAGTGAAGAGCACTGTTAGTGTGGGGACCAGCGGCTGTTCAGTCTCAGGGCAGCTAGAGAGCCTCCCTCCCTCCCTCCCTCCCTCCCTCCCTCCCTCCCTCCCTCCCTCCCTCCCTCCCTCCCTCCCTCCCTCCTTTCCTTCCTTTGTTTCTTGGTGTTTTGAGACAGGGTATCTCTGTGTAGTCCTGGCTGTCCTGGAACACATTATGTAGATCAGGCTGGCCCTCAACTCAGGAAGCTCCTCCCACCTCTGCCACTGAAGTGCTGAGATTAAAGGTATAAGCCGCAATACCATGCCAGGAAGAGACTGGCTGATGAGAAACCAGCTATCGAGGAGGGGCTGGGGTGGGAGGGGGCCAGGCAAGGATGAGAAAGGAGCGGGCTAGGCAAATTTGTGGTGGGATTGGCCCAGACAAAGAGACACACTGTGCTGAAGGTCCAGGGAGGAAGCACCTAAGGAGATGTGCGAGCATGGCAGAGTGACCTCAGAATCTTGGCCAAATGCCCATGCAGGGCCCTGAGGGAGTGATGAGACAAGAACTCTAGGCAGTCAAGCGGTTCTGTCTGTCTGAGGTATTTGCCCTCCAGCCCTGGGCAGGGAGGCAGGCTGTGTGTAGTTCTGTTCCCCAGTGATGGCATTTCTGTCTGGCCTTGGGTCTGCTTGGGAGACTTGGACCTCCAGCCCTCTGGCCTGAAGGAGCCCTCACACTTCCCGTGTCCTTTTGCCTGTCAGAAGTAAGACCACCTCCTGACTCTGCCTGTTACCTATCTGAGCACCCTTATGCCCCGTTCCCACTGAGCTGGGCCTCTTGGGACCTCTCTCAGCTCCCAGAGTTTGGGGATAGAGGCTCCATTATTCTCCTTGCTCCCTCAGACAGCTGAGAGCTGCTGTCCTGTTTTTCAGCCTGCTTTGTTTTCTGTCCCCAAAGCCCCTATGGGCCTCCTGGGAGTGGGGGGAGGGCCTGGAGCTTGGCATTTAGCTGCTTTCTGTGCTGCTGCGTTCTGGCTGGCAGTGGTAGTGCCTGGTGGGTCCATCTGGTGACTGGGTGGCATGCTACTCTAGGTGTGAGCCTGCCACTCTGGTCCCCAGGAGCAGCAGCCCCCTCTGCAGAGCCTGAAAAACCAGGCTGTGTGATGGCTGTCACATGTTTCCTCCCTTGGGCCTCAGTCATCAAAGTCACAGACTGGGGAATAGAGGGGACAGAGATGACATGTCATCTCCACAGCAGTGTGAAATTAAGGAGAGCTCCAGGTTCTAGCTCAGGGAGGGCCCTGCTCAAGCATGTCTGGAGCGTCCGAAGAGCTCGAGAGTTCTTGGACTTGGAGTAGACAGTAGTCTTGATCTCTGCTCCTGTAATCTGTCTGCTCCAAGGTCTTTTGGCAGGTATGTGGGTCCTGACACTGGCACTGTCACTGATGTCCTGAGCTGCCTGGATACCTAGTGTGTGCTCTTAGTCATCTAAGCCATCCCAGGTGGTTTGCTTCTATAGCCTGGCTTGCTCTCCAGCTCATGGAGAGCTGACAGCTTCTCCACATACGTTGCCTTGGTAAGTGATTGCCACACCGATGAATGATGCATGACTTGCCGGAGCTCCATGGTCTAGAGTCTCTCTCAGCCTGGTTGGTCAACCTCTTCCCCAAGCAGTTACATTGTTTCCATAACCCTTGGGAAACACCTTCCAGAACCTTCCAAGTGTCTGCTTTCCCAGATGTGTGACTTTTTGTTTACCTCTTGAGTCTTATGAGTTCGGAGGAAATGGTTATGTTGCAGGTCTCATGTGTTCCAGGCTGGCTTTAAACTCAGTATATAGCTGAGGATGACTTTGAACTTCTGCTCCACCTCCAGAGTGCTGGGATTATAGGCATGTACCACCATGCCTGGTTTATGTGATGCTGACATGGAAACCAGGACTTCAAGCATGCTAAGAGAGCGTTCTACCCACTGAGCTACCTTATTGTTTTACACTGAGATGTTTTTAGTGCTTAATAGGTAGTAGGTGCTCGCTAAGTAAATAATTTTACAATAAACATGAAAGTAAATATCCCTGTCTTCATATTGCAGAAGAGGTATTGGGGGCTCAGAAAGATTAAGTAAATCACCCCACATCTCCTAGTAAGCCAATGGGAGATTTTGCATTCCTCTGTGGGGCCTGACCTCTATTTTCAGAGAGAAGGTTTATGTGTAATGAAGCCACAGCTACCGCAGAAGCAGAAAGAACATCCCTCTTCATTCTTGTATGTGTGGAATTGGGGGGCTCCCTTCACCCCACATGGGCGGGTATAGGAACATGGTACCTGGGAGTTACCATGGCGATGCAATTAATGGTGTGCTATAATACAATGGGCCCAAATGATCAATTAGGAAGTTTTTTGTTTGTTGAAAGGAGGCATCCTTCCCGTACAGAAGGGTCCCCTTCAGGCTCTGTTTAATTACCTTCTGGAGGTTGTTTTAAATAGGCTCTGTCTTTGCTGCCTTAGGAGGTTTAGAGAAGCAGCTTGCTAGGAGACAGGGGGGAAGTAAGCCAGCCAGACTGGGGGTGGGGCCATTGTTCTCCCTCTGGGTGCTGGGGTGTGTCCTGTCTCCTAGCAGCATGTGGGACCCCAGCCCACCCCTCCTTTGGTCTCCACTTGGAGACTGAGGCAAGTTCATCTCAGACACTGGCCACTTCTGAAATCAGTAAATCTCTGTGTTGTAACAGCCACCCAGATGGCTTCCCTACACTGCCCTTTGTCCCTCCCTGTTCTCCAAGTGAGCCAAACAGAGTCTCAACTCTCAGATCCATGCAGGACCGTTACTAAAGCCAATCAGTCCCACGGGGTCAGGGCTGCCCAGTGCCATGTTCAGCCAGAGGCTCAGAGGGTGCCGGGCTGAGTACAAAGGTCAGCGCTACCCCTGGGAGTGCAGTTCAGAGTGAGGGTGCCTCTGTGCGCTGCTGGGCTCTCCACGTGGGTGGCCAGCCACCGTGGCTCAGCTGGCCTTCCATGTGAGGTTGTGTGTCCCAGGATGGTTGTTCTCCGTGATCTGCTTGCACGAGTGGCTTGTGGAACTGCAGCTTTCCCCCGTGGGCAGCATCTACTGTCTCTTCTGAATCCAGCATTTAGTTCATGGGTCCAGTAGGTCGTGGGGGAAGCCCAGCCAGAGCTGTAGCCAGTGTCCTTAACCTGTGCTTTTGAGTTGGTGAGGTAGACAGGACCGGAAGAGGCACGGATTTCACCTCCTTCCTCTTCTGACCAGTTGTTGCTTCTGTTATTTGAGACAGGGTTGTAGCCCAGGATGGCCTCACATTTACAATGGAGCTGGGATGATCTCCAACTCCTGGTCCTCTTTTCTCTGTCTCCAGAATTTAGGGGTTTTGTAGGCATATGCCCCCATGGCCAGCTCTGGTTACATTTTTATTTATTCGTTTTTGATTTGTTGAGACAGTTGTTCTCCATGTAGCCCAGGCTGACCCAGAACGTGCCATACTGTAGGATGGCTGGAATCGGGCTCCTCCTGCCTCAGTCTCCTGAGTGCTGGGGTTACATGTGTGCTTTGACTTAAAAAAAAAGTGTACAGGCCAAAGGTAGGTGGCAATTTAACCAGGGGTACAAGGCAAGATGGTGGCTAAGTCAGGGCCAAAGTGCCTCCTGAGTATTGTGATTGCAGGGAGGGCGGCCCCTGGCCCTGGGAGTTGGTACAGACACCAAGTTCTCAGTACAATGGAGATTTATTACCCCAGGGGCAAGCAGGGTGAAGGTTGGGGGAGGGGATGGGGTACCTCTGGATTGGGCAAAAGCAGACAGCAAGCAGCAGCAGGAGTTTTATTTTTCTTTTTTTCAGGAGTGGGTGTTTAAGGAGAAAAGTCTGTGTTAGGGTGTGTTGGTAAGTACTTATTAGACAGGTTAGCCAGTATAGTCAATGAATTTTGATTGTTGGACCTTGGAGTTTTGTCTCAGGAATGAGTCAGTGGCCAAATAAGGGAGTGAACCTTGAGGGCTGACTTTAGGAATGCAACCTAATGGTTTTTGCAAGAGAGAGAGAAGGGTAAAGGGCAACACCTGTTGGTGCCATGTTGGTGCCTGCTTGGGTCTGTGTCTGCCATGCTCAGGTCTGTTAGAGAGCCCTTCAGTGATTAAAGGTGTGTGCAACTAAACCTGGCTCGTGAAAATATTTAAATGCACATTATTTCTCTTTTTTCATTGGTTGCCTTTATTACATTAATTACCTAATTGATTAATCTACAGTGTGAGTCCAGGGTCTTGAGCATGCTGAGTATGTGGTCTTCCTCTTTACAGCCAGCCCTACCTTTGAAATGTATGTACATATATACATATATAGGTATATGCATGTATATGTATATCAATTAATTTTGAAAAGGTGATATGTGAACAGATACAGAATTCTAGAAGCATAAAAAGAATAAAGAATAGATAAAGAGGTTTTGGGGGCTTGGGAGATGCTCATTCAGTAAAGTGCTTGTCATGTAAGCATAAGGACCTGAACTGAATCCCTAGCACCCATGCAAAAGCCAGCATTGAGGGTGGCATGGGTCTTGAATCAGATGGTGGAGATGCAGAGATAAGAGGATTAGTGGAGCTCACTGACCAGTCAGTCCAGCAGATAGAAAGAGAGAGATTGAAGACACCTGACATTGCCTCTGCCTATTCACACCCCTGTGTGTTGGGGGTGTAGCTCACCTAGTTGGTAGAGTTCTTTCCAGCTATGTGCCCAGAAGGTGGAGGCAGGAGGATCAGGATTTCAAGGTTACTCTACATAGAGAGTTTGAGAGCAGCCTGGGATATATCAGACTGTCTTAAAAGGCAAAACAAAGCATGGGGCTGGAATGATGACTCAGCAGTTAACAGTGCACCCTTACAGAAGACCTGAGTATGATTCTCAGCACCCACACTGGGAAGCTCACAATATCTTATAATGCCAATGCCAAGGGATCTGGCGCCCTCTTCTGGCTTCTGTATTCACCTGCACTCATACACGCATACAACCCCTCCCATGTACACATACACACATAATATGTTTTAAAAGGAAGGTTGAATGGAGAGAAGAAAAGATGAAGAAAGAAAGGGGAAAAGGCAGACAGACTAGCTTTCCATCCAAGAAGTGGTAGAGTAAGGGTTTGTACCCTCCTCTTTTCCTTGCACCAACCTGTGTCTCTCTCTAAAGATAACTTCAGAGATTTCCAAGCTCTCTTCGGTCCCCAAGTTGTCTCATTTCCTCCGAATTATTTCTGCATGTGTACGTATCTAGGCTCACTGAGGAAGGAGTTTTTCACTTAGATATTTCAAACGTCAGTTTGAAACAGGGTCTCAAGTATCCCAGGCTGGCTTTGAACCAGATCCTCCTGTCTCTACATCCTGAGCCGCTGGCGCCCAGCTCACATACCTTTGCACAGGCCACTGTTTTATCCAATGCTGATGTTCATTTGTCATGTTTTCTTGACTCAAAAAGCATGTGTTATCATGGTCCAGCCCTCGGGAAGTAGAGACAGGGAGAGAAGGTATTCAAGGACACCCTGTGCTACAGGAAACCTTGTCTCAAAATTCCCTTGGCTAGAAAGCACAGTGCCGGCCAGGTACACTGACATATATGCACAAAAATGTCGTCATGAAGATGTGCTAATTAAAAATTTGAATTTGGCAAAAAAAAGGAAAACAAAACAAAGAAGTGGGCTATGAATGTAGCCCTGCTGGTAGTTTGCTTGCCTAGCGTACTCAAAGCCCCGAGTTCTGTCCCCAGTACCTTCAACTGACGCATAGGCCACCTTCATCTGAGTGAGGTGGAGGCTCCAGAAGGAGCAAGAGTTCAGGGTCATTGCCATTGCACATTGAGGTTGAGGCCAGGTTGGGCTACAGGATATCCTGTCTCAAAAATAAACAAGCTGGGGGCTGGAGTGGTGTCTCAGTGGTTAGAGCACTGGCTGCTTTCCCCGAGGACTTGGGTTCGGTTCCCGGCTCCCACACTGAGCGGCTCACAGCTGTGTGTAACTCCAGCTCCAGGGGATCTGAAGTCCCCTTCCAACCTGTGCAGGCTACACACGTGTGGCATATACTCTACACAGACAGCATTTATATCTACCCATAAACAAAAATAAATCTTAAAACAAAAAAAATAAATAAAATAAAACATGACCCAGAGAACTGAAACTTCTTGTTTCTCTCTCTCTTCCAGCTCTGGGGTGCACAGAAAATCAAACAGGTAATCTAGCTCGGGGTTCTTTTTTTCCCTTCTCGGTACTTTCCTGGACCCCTCCTCTCCCTGTCTCAGGGGTCTAGCAGAAGTCCTAATTCCATGACTAATGGGTACCCAGCCTCTCCCCACCCCCTCCTTCCTCCCAGCACCCCATTCTGGCCTGAATGGCCTCACCCCAGGAACTCTGGGAGTTTTGAGAAAAGACTGGGTTCTGATCACCAGGTCTGATTCTGTGTCTGCTGTGTGCCAGGCGAGGGCAAGGAGACTTCCAGGTGGGCACAGTGTTGGCCCCCATGGGCCTGGAGGATGGGCCAGGGGGCGGACACTGACCATGACTCACGTTTGGGTTTTCCTTTATCCTGAGAAGTGATGAAAGCCACCTGTCCAGAGGCAACACGGAGCCACTGGTGGGAGGGTCTTCTTGGGGAAGCTGTCCTTGTCCTCATCCTTAATCCTCTGCTTGTTTCTCTCCCATCCTCTCCCCACCATCAGGCTATCCTACACCCGGACACCAATGAGAAGATCTTCATGCCTTTCAGAATGTCAGGTGAGCTCCTTCTGGTTCTGTCCTGCTTGGGGTGCTGGACTTTTCCTGGGAAAACATGAAGAACCATGTATTCACCCCAGAAAGGGTGCTGAGAGCATTCCAAAGAAACAGTGCACTCAAATCTCTTGGTGAACCACCAAGTTTTATTAGGGTTACTTAAAGGAGAATTGCTGGCTCTCAGGCAGGAACAAAAACCCCATCCCAGCACAGGTGGCAACTCAGGACATCAGAATCCCTGGCACTCCCTGTCCACCTTGCAGGCAGCACCACCTAAGAGTCGCCCCAGCAAGTGTCTGCTGCTTCTGTAGCCTCAGAGAGGGCCTCAGGTGTCTTGTTACAGTACGAGCATCCCGAGCCTTTTGCAAGTACCCACATCTTCTGAGCCCCCCTTCCTCCAGAAGTGAATATTTCAGTTTGGAGGTGGTAGTCACAGCACAGCACCAGAGAAGGGCACGGCCTGTCACCCATACAGCCACAGTCTTGTCCACATGTTCACATCAGCTCAGCCCTGTTAGACACTGACCAGGCTCACACCTGTCTCCCTTCCCACCCGTGTGGCCGTGGTGGCACTGTGGCCTCTGCACTTATTCACAAACCCCTTCCTAATAGCAGCCTCATGTCTCCTGTTTTGGGCAAGCCCTGGCTTATTCAAGTCCCACATGACCCCATGCAATGCATGTTTTCTTACTATCTGCTCCCTATTCTAGCTGTAGCATCTAGACTGATTCACTGTCCTCAGACGTTGTTAAATATTAAATACCCTTCCCTTCTGGACAGCGTGAAGTGTGTACTCACGATCCTTGTGTATCCAGACAAGGAAGGGTTCCTGTTCTGTAGAGCCCGTGTGCACAGGGGTTGTGAGTTTCTACTCCTAAGAAGTCCCAGTCTGGTAGTTCCTAGAGGGCTATTTTGTGTGTTTCACACTTGAGGCTCAGAGTACAATTGTTTAGGCTGAGATGGGGGCCCTTCCCCTGGTCTGAGGTTACGGATTTTGCCCCAAGTATCTGCAGAGGGATATACTCACACCAATGTGCTACCATCTCTTCCTGGCCATTGTCACCCACTGATTCATGAGAATGTTGTAGATGGCTGCTGTCCGCTGCCTTGGAAAGGCCTCCACCGGGCTGGAAAAGGAGACCTCAGTCAGATAAGGATACCTACCCTCCCTGCCTCAGAAAGCCTTACTTCTTAGAGACTCAGCCATCTTGTGGTTGCATGATGACATTTTGTAAACTGGGGCACTGGCACCTAGGAGCCCTGGCTTTTCTGTGAAGACCTAGGCAGCAAAGGCTCTGAGCATATAGGGCCCAGAGTTGGAGCTGCACACTGCCCTCTACTGGGCAGAGCAGGCTCTTGCTCCAGCTTGCCTTCTTTTATAATTCTGGACCTTTCTGAGGCAGGCATTCCTTTCAGCCCCCTTATCCTACCCCCCCAAACTTGGCCCTGTCCCCAGAGGGAGGCGCAGGAGAGCCATGGCACCGGCACATAAAGCTGTGTTTGCTCAGGATGTGAACCTGGGTTCTCCATGCCACTCATAAGTATGGTTCCCTGGTGCCTGGCCATAGCTGACTGTCTACTGTAATCCAGAGGCTAAGGAGGCTGCTCACTGACAGCAGTGAGGGGGCCTTGCACACAGGCCAGGACCTGGCTGAACCTCACCCAGTGCTCTCCTGCTCTCCGAGGCTGGCTAGCCAGAACACTAGAGCTTTTAAATGCTCTAGCATCTAACACATGCCCGTCTCAGGCGGGAATTCCATTCCCAGGAATGGTTGTGCATTAGAAAAAGTAAAAAAAGGCTAAAGGAAGAAGGAAGATGCTTGTTTCTTAGAAAAAAAAAACATAGGGATGGGGTACTGTGTCTCAGGGAAGAAAAGGCTCAGAGGACCACTGGTGACCAGCAGTAGCTTATTCTGTCAGCAGGCCAGCTCTTGGATTCTGGAGGGAGCTGGGATTGTCTGGCAGCTGGGGAATGGAGAGGGGGCGGAGTTTGAGGGGTGGTGAGCCCTTTGCTATGGGGAAAGCTGAGTTGAGGGAGGGCTGTGGTCTCTTTCTGTGATTGTCCTGGACTTCTTCACCAGGACCACGGAGCAGAGCAAGCCCCAGAGGCTTCTGGGCATCTCATGAGACCCAGAAGGTTCATGGGACCTGACTTTTTCTCTCCCCCCACCCCTACAGGTTACATTCCTTTTGGGACGCCAATTGTAAGTCTTACCTGCAAAGGGTTTTCTTTTCCAAAATGAAGCTTCGAATGTCTAACGGCACCACTGCTCATAAACTCGAGGCAGAGATCTAGTTTCTGTGCTGGTGGGCATTGCTGGAGACAGGGCTTGCACATCCGTCCTCCCTGGGCTCTACAGCACTCCACCAGGAGCTGCACCCACCCGGGGGTGGGGAAGTGGCTCGGACCCTCCCTGGAGACTGGAAGTCTTCCAAAGGAACCGGGGAAGCGGGAAGACAAGGGCACCTTGTGGAAATTGAAGTTGCAAATTAATTCAGAAAGGGTTTCTGGTGTTCTTTTTGTTTGGTTTTGGAGTCGGGTTTAGCCCTGCTCATGATTTCTTTCCTGTGTTAAGTATTCTGTGTTATGAATATGGATTAAGTCTGAAAAACAGTGCTGAATGAGAAAATAGTAGCACAGTAGTAATACTCGCTGATGTCATTTATATCATGTTTAAAAATGTGCAAAGTGATAGTATATATAGTGTATGGGTGTATGTTCTGTGTATGTGTGAGAACAGCCCTGGGAATGACAAGCAGGAGTCACTGTCCCTTTCGCTCTGGGTGGAGAAGGGTGGAACCCAGCAGGAAAGCAGTGCCACCATTCCCGTTGGCCCTTACGGAGAAGGCTGTAACGTTCCACAGTCCTCTGAGAAGGCTGTAACGTTCCACAGTCCTCTGAGAAGGCTGTAACGTTCCACAGTCCTCTGAGAAGGCTGTAACGTTCCACAGTCCTCTGAGAAGGCTGTAACGTTCCACAGTCCTCTGAGGAAGTGAAGAGCGCCCACAAAGCGTGCACATCATCTTATCCCCTAGACTTGGGTGTGCTTTGAAAACTTCAAAAATTGTTTGTTTCCCCCTATATTCATTTTTTATTCAACTTTCCTCCTAATGCTCTCAATCAGACCTAAGGCCTTGTGCTGGCTAAAGAAGTTCTTTAGCGCTGAGCCCATCCACAGTCCTTGGGGGTTTTGCTTTGTTTTGTTTTTTGAGACACTTTCTCTGCATGGCCTGATCCTCCTGCCTCCACCTCCTGAGTCCTGGGATTACAAATGTGCACCACCATACTTGCCTTGTGTGACCCTGCAGTTGGAACCAAGCTATATCCTACCCTTTCTAAGCCCGGCTTTCCGTTTTCTCTTCTGGCTTGTTAATTATACTTGGTTAATTTTTCCATTTTATTCCTGGTTTATATAGAAGCAATTGTTTTCACTGGGTTTTAATGGGTCCTTTGGAAGGGGACCCTCCTCTAATTTTGGTGATGACCATTCACTCACATTATTTCATAGCACAAATGTTATACATTCTATATAGATGCACATTATAAATATCAAGAATCAAATAGTGCCCCTATCCTGTGCTGTGTCATCTGTGTGTGTGTGTGTGTGTGTGTGTGTGTGTGTGTGTGTGTGTGTGTGTGTGTCCCCACCTGACTAGGACAGGGCTTAGCATACCATTTTGCCCTATTTTTTTTCAATTGAGTAACTATTATTACAGTGTTCAGAGGCTCACCAGGGGAGACTCTCAGGAAAGGGAACTTTCTAAGAGTGCATTCCCCTAACACTTGTTTCATAAAGGACTCTGAATAAGGTTGGAGACACAAAGGTGGAAAAGACAAACTCTGCCCTTTTGTCTGCTGGGCAAGGCTAAGAAGCCTGCCTCAGGGTGTTCCTAAACACAGAGAGATCTATTGGCGTTTTGGGGCATTGTCTTTTTGTTGACATGAGTTCAACTACGTAGCCCAGGCTGGCCTCAAACTCCCAAGGCTGTCTCAGCCTCCTGAGCATTAAGACTGTGGTCCTGTGCTACCAAACCTGGCTCTTCCTCTAGTCTTTGCTTGTATACGCCTGCCATTTTTTTTGGAAATGATTTAGAGTCTTATCAACAATTGTCTCAGCATCATGGTTGTGTAGGCTTTGTGTTTGGCTAGAATGCTCTTTTGAGTAACATTTGGAGCTTGTGGATCATCCACTGTCTGCATCTTTGCTTTGCAGGCAATGTCTTTTTTTTTCCCCCTTTCAGGCATGAACAATATTTGGCTCAAATGTGTTTTCTTTTGTAAGTAAATTTTTCCATTTCTTGGGGAAATCATTTGATATATTTTTCTCTTATCTTTGGAGTTCAAAAATATCTCTGGGATTAAAAGAAAAAAAATGTATATTTTATACAAGTAATATGAATATGTTCTTTGGGATTCAAAAATACCACCAAGAGTTTTTTTTATAAAGAATATTTTAATGCTAGCACATGCCTGTAATCCCAGAATTTTGGAGATGGGGACGCAAGAATCAGGAGTTCAGGGCCAGCTTCAGCAACACAGAGTTCGTTCAAAACCCTAAGATACATGAGACTATGACTAAAAGCAATTAACATTTAAAGATAAAATATTGAATACTTATATAAACAGTACATCCCTGTCTTATTAGCTTTGAATTCAAACAATGCAAACAGAAGCTCAAGTCCTTTCCCCAGAAGTTACATCTGCTTGAAGTTTGGCTTAGCTTCAGACTTTAACCATGTGCGTATATGCAAATTATCATGTACAGTTATTCTTTTGGAGTCAGATTCCCTGGCTTGTGCTTAGATTTAGAGCTCCACTGAAGGCTGAGGCAGGGGGATCACTTGAGCTGTGCAGTTTGAGACCAGTCAGGTCAACATGGTCAGGTCACTTCTCAAAAAGAAGAGGGCATAGGGTCCCCTGGAGCTGGAGTTATGGGAGTTTGTGAGCTCTCTGATGTGGGTGCTGGGAACTGAACTCAGGTCCTCTGCAAGAACAGCAGTTACTCCTTATTGTTGAGCCATCTTCCCAGCTCATTGGTTGAGATGAAGTGGTCCCTTTTAGAAAAGTATTATTTGTTGTTATTATCACTTAACCTTACTCAGAGAACATGACCGTTATAAGTCTGTCATGTAGAATTTGTGGTTCTCTTTGTAGCATAGCTTATCAGTTATGTGTAGGTCATCTGCGTGTGACAGAGTTGCAGTGACTTACACGTTATTTCTCTCAAATGTCAAGGAAGTTTGGATGTGGGTAGAATTGCCCAAGGCCATCAGGAACCCAGTCTTCGTTTTTCGTCGTTCATTCTCACTGCTAGTTTCTGTTGTACATGTCACCTCACAGCCCACATGACAGCTGCTGGAATCTAGTCATATGCACATTTCAGAGAGGACAAAGAAGATACTAGTGAATTATCTCCCAACTGAGTCATCTATCTTTGAGGAGTTTTCGTGGGAGTCCCATACAACCGTGGCATTTCATGGGGAATTTAGCTGCTATATAGTTGACTCTCAGTCATACAGAGATTTTTATGAATGAGAAAGAAGGGTTGAACAGTTCATAAATAGGCATGCAAGAGTCTGTCACAGTCATTTTTGTGTTTGCACACGTGTCTTGGGGTGTGAGTGTGTGTGTGAGTGTGTGTGTGGTTGTGTGTGTGGTTGCGGTGTGTGTGTGTGTGAGTGTGTGTGTGGTTGTGTGTGTGTGGTGTGTGTGTCTGTGTGTGTGTGGTGTGTGTGTGTGTGTGTGTGTGGTTGCAGTGTGTGTGTGTGTGAGTGTGTGGTTGCCGTGTATAAGGTCAGAAGACAACCTCAGGTGTTGTTCCTCATGCATCATCCATCTTCTTTTTGACACCGGGTCTTTCACTGGCCTGGAACTCACCAAGCAGTCTAGGCTGGCCAGTGAGACACTTCCCCTGTGCTGAGGTAAACATGTATCACCACACCCCATACCTCACTTTTTAAAGTGGGTCCTGGGGGGGGGAGTTTGAACCCAGGTCCTCATGCTTGCAAGGTGAGTACTTTACTGACTGAGCCATCTCATGAGCCCTGACATAATAATTTTTATAAACATTTACATTAATCATTATTTGGCAATATTACAAACCAGAGGCCTGGGTATCTGAGCTGGTCACTCATGAGTAGACATGGGCTCATGACCCATTGAATGACCAGGTGGATTCTTGCAGAGTCAGTGGCTGCCCTCAGCCAGGACAAATCAACAAAGTTAACGAAGTTCTGTTTTGTGCTTGTTTTGAGATGGGGTTTCACATTATAGTGCAGTCTGGTGTTGAGTTGGTGATCTTCCTGCCTCAGCCTGCTGTGTGCTGGAGAGTGGGCTTGCAGCTCTGTCCTTATTCCTATAGTGCTCCCGCATGCCCCAGACAAACCCGTTGTTGCAGGGAACTGCAGCCTTGTTGGTGTCCAAACTTGGGACGCTGATCTCCCTTGCTGTGGGCTGTGCTCTGTGAAAGCAGATGTGCAGTGTAGGCCAGTCCTCAGAGACTGTGAGTTAGCACACAGTGTGGAGACAGGTCGCCTCAGCAGCAGTGATCTCTCCACTGAGGCAAACAGGAAGCATGGCTTGGGACATGATGTCCCAGGAGACAGCCTAGCAGCGGACCTTCTTCTGAGCCCCACGTAGCCATGTTCCAAGGTTCAGAGCATTGGGCCCGAGGTGGCTCTCCAGCTGAGCCCATGGATGTGGAGAACCCGTGGCTTCTGTTCCTGTGCCTGGACATGGCAACTCCCAGCTCCCGCTCTTGACTCCCACCACCACCAAATCAAACCCTAACCTTGTATGGAAGGAGCCACAGTAGCCCCTCCACTGCCCTGAACATTCATTCATGACTGGTCCTAAGGGTCTGGAAGGTTCCAGTCCACACCTTCCTGAAGCCCCTGGTCAGAGTGAATAAGAACTACGCATGCAGAAGCCACTGAAAACGCTTACCGAAATAGAAACGAGGGTGCCAGCGAATGTGCTAGGAACTGGGCCCCTGAGTGAGGAAGGGAAGGGGCGAGGAAGGCTGGCAGGTACCTCAACCCAGAAGCTTTCAGCTGCCACATCCAAGCAGCCTCCTGCCTGCATGAGCATCCCTGCTCGACCCCATGCCCTCCTGCTTACCCTGAGAATAACCTCACTCCCTACCCCAGGGGCTCCAGAGGGACGAGCTGGTTCTCTCACAAGCACTGGTGCCAGTTTAGTCAGCAGATTTCACAGATCCACTGGCACCCATGTCGGGGCTTATTTTAAGCTTAACATTTAAAGATGGGAACTTTCCCCCACTTTAGTGTGTGGCAAAAAGATCCCAATTTATACAGAAGCACGGATGCTAAGCAGTGTGCCCAGGCCACTTC